AACATGGTGACATCATCATTGTAACATTATCATGGTGACATCATCATTGTAACATCATCATGGTGACATCATCATGGTAACATTACCATGGTGACATCATCATTGTAACATTACCATGGTGACATCATCATGGTAACATCATCATTGTAACATTACCATGGTGACATCATCATGGTGACATCATCATTGTAACATTACCATGGTGACATCATCATTGTAACAGCATCATTGTAACATCATCATGGTGACATCATCATTGTAACATTACCATGGTGACATCATCATTGTAACATCATCATGGTGACATCATCATTGTAACATCATCATGGTGACATCATCATTGTAACATCATCATGGTGACATCATCATTGTAACATAATTTACATCAACTTTGCTGCAGAGCTGAAGTAGTCACACTCAGTCCTGGGAGACCATGGAACACGATAGGTCATGTGATATATTCATTTACATGGAACAGAGACTGCAGGGCTGAAGTGTGAGAGGAAGAAGCAGTACAAGGAGCCAATCAGTTCATGTGCTGACAAGAAGCATGCTGACAGAAGGATAAAGCAGAGCGACCGAGAGATGATCTTATCACGGTGCTGCTTCTCCGCTCACTGTCCGGTCACGGGTTGGGGGAAGGTCCAAGACAACCTGGGCTCAGAGGAACGCGGGAAAGTAGCTCATGTAGCCGATTCTGCTACAGACATACCGTGTTTTTCTCCCATGCGTTTGAGGGCAAAAACTGTCCGGGAAGGAGTCGCGTCTGGCAGGAGTAAGGATGTCAGGTTGGCCATGTATTGGTGTTGATAAAGTTAATTGAAATTGAAAGAAAAAAGTACAGCAGTGTGCAGCCTTGACTTTTGTTGACGTCTGTGTTGGTGCCCGCATAGCCCACCTGAGAACCTGCATAGCCCACCTGGGAGCCTGCATAGCCCACCTGAGAACCCGCATAGCCCACCTGAGAACCCGCATAGCCCACCTGAGAGCCCGCATAGCCCACCTGAGAACCCGCATAGCCCACCTGAGAACCCTCATAGCCCACCTGAGAACCCGCATAGCCCACCTGGGAGCCCGCATAGCCCACCTGAGAACCCGCATAGCCCACCTGAGAGTCCGCATAGCCCACCTGAGACCCTGCATAGCCCATCTGAGAGCCTGCATAGCCCACCTGGGAGCCCGCATAGCCTGCCCGAGAGTCCTCACAGCCCGCCATAGACCCTGCATAGCCCACCTGGGAGCCCGCATAGCCCATAGTCTATTGATATGAATCAATAGACTATGATTGGCACCAGAAAAGACGCGTAGTAGATGGCTTTCCATTGGCTGAAAATAATAATAAAAAATAAAAGACTGAAACGCGTGGAAAAAAAACCACGCAAAAGCGCTTAAAAAGCCCCGAAAATGACCAGAGGGGCCCTCAGCTGAAGTGTGAATGGGCCCCCAAGCTGAGTGATCTCACTGCCCCAGAGCCGGGGATCGGATCTTCCCAACGAAGAATTCTGCGCAGTTTTCGGAAGGGGGGGAGACTCCTCGCCATCGGCGGTTTGCGTCTCATTCAGACGTCTGTCATCCCCTCCTCCTCCTCCCAGCTTCCTCCTGGTCTTCCCTCTCATTGTGATGGCTCAATGGCCGTCCGCCAGCAGCACGTAGATAAAGCCGAGATCAATAGGAGCCCATTATCCTCAGGAAGTCTCTGTGATCTGGGGGCTCCTCTCTTTAGAAAGCCAATAACCATCCGGGGGCCGCGGGCCCGTGCTGCCAGGGACGTCACCTGAAGGAAACCCCCTGAAATACCAGAAGTACTGGCCCATCATGGGGGTCCGGAGTCAGGATGATAGGGCCCCCTCTCAGATTTTGCTTGCGGAGACCGAAGGAGGTTCTAATGCAGAGGTGGCAGGCAACTCCGGCCCTCCAGCTGTTGTAGAACTACAAGTCCCATGAGGCATTGCAAGACTGAGAGTTACAGGCATGAGTCCCAGAGGCAGAGGCATGCTGGGATTTGTAGTTAAAGCACAGCTGGAAGGCCAGAGATGCCCACACTTGGTCTAATCCTTCTCCACGCTGCTAAACAATGTATCTCTAGTGCGAGTTGTGTTTTGTTGGAAGGATTCTACCTCACTTTCTGACCCAGTGGCCAAACAGGAAGTGAGGAGATATCTCTCCAGGGGGGTCATGGACGGCAATAAAACCAGACAGAGGTTCCAACATATCTCCATGGTACTAAACAGAGAGTGGGAAAACTGGAGCAGACAAAATCTGGAGCAGATTTGCATGGTAACCAATCAGCTTCTATCTTCTTATCTTCAAATCCCAACTGAGCAATCTGAAGAGAGATGCTGATTGGTTGCCATGGGCAACTGCTCCAGATTTCGTCCACTCCGCTTTTGATAAATTCCTCTCAGAACCTTTATTGCTGTTTCTATCTGTGGTCATGTCCTAATCATCCCTACATTTAGGCCTTAATTGTGGGTGAAAACTATCAGGGAAGGAGTCGCGTCTGGTAGGAGTAAGGGTGTCAGGATTTCCATGTAGCGGTGCCGATAAAGTTTATTGAATTTGAAAAGAAAAAAAAGTATAGTGGTGGACTTTTGTTTATATCTGTATTGGAAAGACTCTGCTTCATTTCCTGATAAAGTTTATTGAAATTGAAAAGAAAAAAGTATAGTGGTGGACTTTTGTTTACGTCTGTATTGGAAAGACTCTGCTTCATTTCCTGATAAAGTTTATTGAAATTGAAAAGAAAAAAGTATAGTGGTGGACTTTAGTTTACGTCTGTATTGTAAAGACTGCGCTTCATTTCCTGTCCTATACAGGAAGTGAGGGGAAAATCTCCACGGTGGGGGTTTAGACTCCATTCTCCATTCATATTTAAAATAAAATAATAACATTCGGCTGGAGCTGAGCTTTTATAAATATGTAAATTTAACGATCGTCTGTCAGTGCTTCCATGACACTTCCATGAATGCGTGAAAAGCTTTCTTAGTTCGACCAATCAAATTCTCTCTTCAGTTTGTTGAAAATGAAAGATAGAAGCTGATTGGTTCAAGGCCTGACCGCGCCTCCGTCATGGCCGCCGTTGCGCCCCGTCCCCCCAGTTTTTTTTCCTGTCACCATTTGTTTTGCTGACATTAACAAGCCGTAGATGGAGGATGTGGAGCTGGGCCGTGCTGCTCCCGGGGGCCTGTGCCACGGATTCACGTCGCAGGCCTCGGTCGCCATGGCAACACAGCAGGGAAGCACGAGCCGTTCCTGGAGATCCATCCGCGAGCCGCCGGGTGCCAGGC